GCATTTCTCTATGTGTAATTTCATTCCATTCCTGTTCAATTCCCGCAATATTACTTGAATGTGATTAAAATGATCCTCTAACGTGTCACTAAAAATGATTATGTCATCAACATAATGTAGGCAAAATTTATCGAATTTATCGAGAATGCACTGCATTGCTCTAACTAATGCTGCGCACGAGCTGGCTAGTCCAAATGGAACTACCTTAAATTGATACGTGACACCATCGACACTGAACCCTGTAAATTTTCTAGAATTTCTTTCTAAAGGAATTAGCCAAAACGAATTTTGTAAGTCTAATTTCGTAAAGATTTTATTCCCCCCAATTTTCCCTAATAAAGACTCTATTTTCTGGGGCGATTCTAACTGAGGTGTTGTCCGTCGGTTAAGTTCGCGCGCGTCTAAACATAAACGAAGCGAGCCGTTCTTCTTCTTCACGATGACAAGCGGGTTGATAATGTTAGTTGTGGCCTTCTCAATTATTCCGTCTTCGGTCATTTTCGTTAACACGGTTCTTACTTCATTTCGATAATGGAAAGGCACCGAATACGTTTGGATTTTCCCCATTTTCCTATCATCCACTTGCAACGTGTGTTCGTAACCTCTCGCCATTCTCACTTCGTCATTGATAAGTTCACGATTTTCCTTCAGTATTCCTGTTACCTTTTCCGACCACTCTTCTGGGCAATTTAATTTTGACATTTTCCAATACTCCTCATTCCCCCATTTCTGACAAACGTTAATTTCCATTTCGTTATCCGGGTCTTTCTTGATCTTTTCGTCTTCTATTTTCACTTCTAATTTTCCTATTCTTACATTTCCTTTTCCTATATCCACAATTCCATCATACATTTTTAAAATGTCAATCCCGATAATTAAATCCGCCTGCATCCCCGCTAAAACCAATAATTCTTCCTGCAGCCGTTCACCTCCTACTTCAATCCCTAAAATAAATTTTCTTTTGACGTTGGCGAAATTTTTCTTATTTGCCGTTATTAATTTTAATCCTTTAATGGGTACGGTAAAACTCTCCACTCTTCCTAAATTTTCTTTAATGAAATCTTCTGAAATTAAAGAAACTTCCGCCCCCGTGTCAATCAATGCCTTGGCCCTTTTTCCTTCCACCAGCACCCCTATTGTTGGTAAATTGGTAATGAAGTTGTCCGATTTGTCTTCCGCACTATTGTCGTCAATTTGAATAAATTCTTTCGGGTGCGAGTACACGTATCCGACAATAGCGCGGCCTCTTAAAAATCCGTCGGTGGTGGATGGACTTCGGCTCTAACCACTTCTATTTTGTTTTCCTCTCCGGTGTCCCGCGTCGGTTTTAAAATCTGGTTAATACGTCTCCTGTCCTGTTCTGCATTTCCCTCCCCTCGTCTCTCTTCTCGGGCTCCTCTTGCATAATCCGGTCTTCTCTCCTGCTCCCTCTGGTCCTTCTGATATTCCCTTTCGAATTTCTGTTCATAATTAAACTCGCGGTTAAAATTCCCTCTATTGTTGTTATTCCTATTAAAATTCCCATTATTCGCATTCCTGTTATAATTTCCATTGTTGTTATAATTGTTGTAATTTAGGTTCAAATTCTCCATCCGGTTACCCCTTTCTTGATACGCTCCGTATGGTCTGTTTCCTCTCCACTGGTTTCCGTATCCTTGTTTTTCATACTGCCGTCCTTGCTCCCTGATCTTATAATCGTAGGCGGCGTCCTTCTCCTCGTCAGCCGTGTCGTAACGTTTGAGCATCCTTAAAAATTCTTCGTACGTGGTGATGTCGTCCTTCGTGACCTTCTGGGAAATCTCCTCTTCATAATGTTTTGCCAGCCGCCTTACCAGCACTGATTCCTGTATCCCATTTTCTAGGTGTTTAAATTGTGAATAATTTTCCATCAGGTACTTCACACGGCTACCCCTATTTCGGTTATACTTTCCCATGTTTAATTGGTCCCGTGTTTTATTTTGCTCCCAATCGCCCCAGTATTGGCTTATAAAATTTTCCTTGAATGACTCGAAGTTGGCAATCTTCTCGTCCACCGTGTCATACCAAATCTGCGCGTCTTCCTTTAGAACACTTCTTATCAAGCTGATTTCGTCCACGTTCGTGAATAGTTTCCCAAAAATTCGCCTGTTGTTTAGGATCGTCGCCTCTAAAATTTTTAGAAACGTCATAGGGTGGACTTTTCCCTTACCCGTGAACTGTTCCAGACGATCTAGGTCCCCTTTAAAATTGTTGGCGTACTGTATTCCTCCCTGTCTCGGCTTATTCTCCAATTCCTTCCGTAGTTCTTTTAATTCTTCCTCACTCGTACTTTTATTTTTGTTGCAGACTTCTTGCATATGACAAAATCCCTTTTCAACTTTTTCAAACTCCTGCTGCGTGTAGCTGACCTCCATCCTAATCTGGTTCTCTACCTCCATCACTCGCTTGTTCACCCCTTCGTGATGTTGGTGCAGCACGCTGATGTTCTCGGCCATATCCGTCCTTAATTCTCTAATCTCCCTCGTATTTCCATCGGTCTTCTTTTCTACCTCTCTGACGCTCTCCTGCATGTCTTGCCTAATCTCGTTCATGATTCTCACCACGTCCTGTCTTAATTCCGCTGTCGTTTTATTCTGGTTCTCTATCTTCTTATTTATCTCTTTTATCTGACCGCTCAATTTGTCCCCCAGTTGGTTATTCATTTGCTTATTCTCTGTCCTCATCTCACTCATCATCGTTATCATTTGAGCAAAGAACCCTTCCTGCATTGTCGTTAATCCCATTGTAGAGACCTCTCCTTTTCCTTCCGGCACGTCGACTGACCCCGGTATTATTTCTGCGCTGACGTCCGTCGGTACATCAATTCCACTCTCGGGCTTCGAATCCATAATCTTCTCTTGTTAATAATTTACGCTGTTGTAATTATACAAAAATATAACAAATAACCGTCTCTACGCTCGCTGTCACTTTTATTTCTTTTTCAAATCAAATAAAAAAAATTTCGTTTAACTTCCCTGTCTCTACTCAACTACCCTTCGCAATAACGTTACTACCTAACCCTTTCTTAACCTGTCACAACCAAAAACCTCTTCAAATAATTGCGTTAAAAAAAAATCCTTTAAACTTATCGTGTCGGATACCAAATAAAATCTTACCCGTCGCACAATAAATCCTGCCTACAATGAACTTTAAACTTTCAATAAAAAACGACCTACTTCCGCGTTTCCCTGATGCCTCACGCTATTGGGCGCCAATTAATTTGTTGTGTAAACTTCCTAAGCCTGAAAGATACCCACACAACTTACCCTTACTAGCTCAATCCCACACAAACTCTTAAAAACACAAATCTCAGGGCCCGTAAAATGAGTCCGACCACCCCTTTTCTTCGTCCGGACAAGGGGTAGCAACCTCGCCAGGTCGGTGGCTAATACCTCCCTTAAATTCCAATATGAAACTTCACCCCCAGATTTAATAAACTTGAAACAAAGTAAGAGACGCCGACAATTACCTCTCTTTGACTCTAATAAACAAAACCTGGATTGCAATGACTGGTTTAATTTCAGACAAAAAATTGCGTAAATTTCTGTTTTACAAATTGTTACAATTTTAAACAGATAAATGACACACAAAAAAAAAACACAAATTACTCAAACATTACAAAAAAAAAAACATGACAAAAACAAACCACTAACTACTACTTACTTTAAAATTTGTCCGAGTAACGTACTCTGATACAAAGAGGTATCCGTAAACGATCACAACAACAAAATTTTTACACAACCAAACACTCAAACACCGACGTCTTCTCTCTTCGGGTACCCACAATTATTTTCAAAACTTCCGTGTTTCCGCAAAATAAAAAAAAAAAACAGGACAGCGACAAACTTCTTAAACTTTTCAAAAATTCTTCTTAAACGGCAGACAAAAATTCTAACTAAACCTGGATCCACTACGCAAGAAACTTCCACAAAATTCAAAAATCACGTAACCGAAGAAGCGCCGGTTGGCTTTGTCACGACCAAAAAGCCCCGCTCTCTTCAAAAATTTTCTATTTAAGCCAAAAGCCCTTCTCCTTTCTTCAACATCCCGTCCGCCAATCACGCGAAGCGTCGATTTTTCAACTTCTTGCTGAACGGCACGTACGCCCGGCAATTCTGCGAAGAACCTTATCTCTACTTCGCGCTATACCTCGTTAACGGCAAATAAAATTTAAAAAAGAAATTTACATCGAAAAAAATTCTAGGAATAAAATAAAAACAGAACACTTCTAAGAAATTGAACCAAAACTATAACATGAAATTTACGCAATCCTGTGTCTCAAATTATTAATAACCCCCCCGGTTAATTAATTGAACTAAACAAAATTGTCACATCCAGACGCTCTATAATTTCTTTCAAGTTACAACTAAAACAAAATAACACAACAATATATGCCGTCGCGGACTTTTTTATAGTAAATTTAATTGTCTACAATTTTTGTTCTATGAAATTTTCTGTGTCTAAATTGGTATTTGCAGCGTTTTCAATTATGTACGCGCGCCCATTATCAACATGAGTAAGGTAACAAATCAATGAGTGCAAGTAGGAGAGTTCAGGCTATCTTTGTCCTACACATAAAACGCTCTGTAAGAAGGAAGAGCAGTGACTGCCTTCGGAAAGCGCGCATATAAATCCAAAGGTACTTTTCACGTTCATTTCGTGGCTCCATCTATCGCTCAAGGTACTTTTAGACACCCACGCGAAAGTAGGTACAGGCTTAGACTTCTTCCTAATTTTATATTCAAAGGTTCAATAGAGTGTCTATCCGAATGTCGCTTCCCTCCAAACGTTCAAACGGGTTACTAATCTTTAATCGAGATCTTTCTTTAAATTCGTCAACGTGTACTGGCAAATAAACTTTTGAGTTTTGTACATGGTAGTTTAGTTAAACAAATAAGCGTTTAACATGACCGATATAAGGGTGAGATTTCTTCTTGACATTTAACCGTCTCTTGGTTAAAGACCGCTTCTTTTCGTTTTAGGACATGTTAACAAACAGGAGTAAAAATGGTGACGCCGAATCGCCTCCGCCGAAACCGGCGGGCCCCAATAAGAACACAATCGAAAAAACCTTTAAGAAAAAGACCCAATTGGAGCATATACTTCTACGGCCCGACGCTTACATCGGTTCGGTGGAGCACACCAAACAGCCGATGTGGATTTACGACACGGAGAATAGTAAGATGGTGCAAAAGAAGATCGATTACGTGCCGGGCCTATACAAAATATTCGATGAGATCCTCGTGAATGCCGCCGATAATAAACAGAGGGACAAGAAGATGGATTGCATTAAGATAGAGATAAATCAAGAGAACAATGTCATTTCGGTGTGGAATAACGGGCAAGGTAACGGGTGATCAAAAATGAGTTGCTGTCGAGTCGCCTTTGGAAGTTCAAGTTAAATACGATTTCCCATGTAAACAAAAGTTCCAAAGGTGACTCGACAGCAACTCATTTTTGATCGCACAGCATTTAAACCTTCAGTGTGTTTGCTCAGCTTAGTTCAAAATGGTATACCGGCTCGGCTTTCTCTCAATTTGTTTAAATAAACCACAACTCCGTACTACCAACATGAGAGGTTTGATCATTATAACCGCCATACGGAAGTAATCTGAGCAATCGGACTAAAGGGCTATAGGTATGACAAAAAGTTGAGAATTTAGAGAGTCTTTTAATTTATTGTGACGAGCTTTCACACCTTAGAAAGTTACATGTTTCAAAGGGGCTTCTTGAGGTGATTGTTTACCAAGAACAAATGTCTCCAAGTTCTCTATAATTAACCGCCATTTTATAAAATAGGCAAATCGTAATTTGTAACCCATGATAATGATTCGTGAATCAGTTTCAGTTTTTTACGTAAGTACTTGTTACATATGTCACAGCAGACCTGTGGTTCAGGGTACTAGAGGGCGCTACTTGCAATACTGTAGTTTTTTTAGAATGTAGATAAAGATAGTGCTATATTTATTAAGAAGTAGACATAGGGATTTACGTGTATTGTTTAGGTCTACTTTTAAATGACAAAATCTCTTATCTGAACCGGTCACCTAATTTTATGCAACCAAAACAACTTCTTAACTGTCAATTGGTGTAGTACCGATTTAAGGAGGGAACAAGGTTTATTTTCCGTGAAGCCCAAGCAACAATATTCAAATTAATTAATATGACAGCCAATTGAGCGCAAAATATAAAAATGCTCTTTTGGGTTTCTTATGCTGAAAATTGTTATACAAGTAACAGGATGGTGGGTTCATAAATTAATCTCATTGTGCAAGTGAAATGATTGTGCATGCGGTTTTATTTTGGAAATGTTAACACGAAACTCTAGTAATCACAAAAATGAATTTTGGGAATAAGATTTATGTTCAATTGACAACTTACTAAAATTTCCTTCGCTGATTGGGTGGTATTCTCTCCCCATTGTACCGGGTGACCCACTAAGACTATGACCACCAGAGGGCGTAACTGGCATCTTAAATTTTAAAATTGCATTTTCTTTAAATTTCACACAATAAACTAAACATTCATTTTTCACATTTTTAAAGAGAACCAGTTTATCTATCATTTTCGTAAAAACAAAAACTCGGTTATTTCAAAAACAAAGATCGCGTGGGGCGTTCAATTGTTTTTGCAATAACATGCTTTAACTTCTTAACCGTTTGACCGATTGTATCAAAAATGGTATCGTTGAAAAGAGCATTCCTTAGGCAATGGGAATTAACCAAAATATAGTTAATTTAGTTGAATCCTTCTCCGCCAGGGGGCTAGTTTTAACACTATGATCCAAATTCCTAAAAAAATCAAATGGAATGATATGACTTTTTCTTTATTTTAAAAGTAGCCAAATAACACCCCAAGAGGCCAGTGAAAACCGTTTTTCAAAATCTTGTTCCTAACCTCAAATATTGGGAAAATGAGATTAATTAATTAATAAATAAAAATGCTTAACCTGCATCTTATTTGACGTATTTCCGGTATTTGTCAGTGGCGCGAAAGATTGTTTGGAAAAGGACCCTAGGTACACTTACATTTAATATTTACACCAGCAATACAAATATATCAATCTGGGAATTAAGGTAGAGGTTGTCCAACAACAAACTGCTATCCCACAGTATAAAGCCAAGCGAAAATGTGCATACGTATTTCGAATTCCGACAAACCAGCTCCAGCTAGTTGTACGAAAATAATACGAGATATTGTTATTACGCACTGGAATAAAACGCTAATGTTCAACTGTGTTGATATTAAAATTTAGGCCCAATTAATTACGTTTTTTCGTGCGAGTAAACGCCCTAATTAATTGCCTTTGAAACTGCCGAATGCCCTTGTATACAATATGTTATTTATCGCACAAGGCGCTGCACAAATGTGCTTTAACATTTTAACGGTGTAGAGTGCATTCTGCATAGGTAGATAACTGCCACTGCAATAAATATATGGGAGAAAAAGAATGGGTCCTAGGACTGATCCCTAAGGAAAGGTTTACGGTTATTGTGCTACATTTGGGCTTTTGAAGGAACACCCATTGCCATTGTGTGTTATAGTGACTACCTGTCTTCTTTTAAGCAGGAGTGTTTCTTAGCATTGCAGGATTACGGCTTAGTTACATTTACAAGGGTCGAATACCTCACTTTGCATAACATAAAATTGAGCGTCTCTGGCACTGGCCTAAAAATCTCCACCCTCCTCTGAATGCTAAACAAATTTGTAATCCAACCAAAGGAGTAGGTACTAGTATTACTGAAATTAAATACAATTTTCCATACATTGGAACAATCACAATCCTTTGTTTGGATTCGAGCAAAACCTGTTAATGTGCATGGTTCTCGTAGGGCGATTCCTTTAGGAATATTAAAATTAGTTCGAGAAAGTTAATATGGAAGTTCCTCGACCACTATTTTAAGCAAATCAAAAAATGTAAAATAACTTACCGTTATTGACGTGGGTAAAGTTCTCTTCTGATATTTATTAGTAGAGCTTTTTTTATGACAAAATACAAGACAATTTGAGCCGTTTCCGAGATATTCAGGATTTTTGAAAAAAACATCCTTTTAGGGGGATGAAAAAATTTTTTTTCATCGTACAGAGCGCGCTGCAAAATTTTCGTAAAATTTATCTTGAACCATACAACTAGCGTGGATATATTGTAACTCCATCATTTTCCATCAGGTGTACCTGTCGTGATGCACAAGGATGAGAAAATGTACGTTCCCACCATGATCTTTGGCCATTTGTTGACCTCGTCCAACTTCAACGACGAAGAGGAGAAGGTTACCGGCGGTAGAAACGGGTACGGCGCGAAACTGTGCAACGTCTTCAGTACAAAGTTTACAGTGGAGACCTCAAGCAGAGAGTACAGAAAGCATTTTAAACAGTCGTGGGGCGCGAACATGACGAAGACGTCCGAACCGAAGATCAAGGAATATTCCGGGGAGGAGTTTACGAAGATTACTTTTTCTCCGGACTTGGAAAAGTTTAAAATGGAAAAGTTAGACGACGATATCGTCGGGCTCTTTTCTAAACGCGCATTCGATGTGGCCGCCTGGACTCGTGGGGTCAAGGTGTTTTTAAACGGCGAAAAGCTACCGGTGAAAAATTTTAAAGAATACATAGACCTGTACATAAAGAATAACGACGATGACGGGGACGACACCCATAAGTTGATATACGAAAGTCCGAATGAACGATGGGAGGTGGCAGTTACGACATCCGACTACGGGTTTCGACAGGTAGGTACTAAGTTTTTCACAGATTCTAACCATGGTTATCTCATTAAAACGAGCGTAAAATCAACTTTTATCAACACATTAATTGATCACATTTTATAAACTCACTATGTTCATTTAGATTATGCGCCTGGTGTGTGAAATCCAAAGTAAAATTCAGCAGCAATATCAAAAATTCTCTTGTAACAAAATACGCTCAACTTCTGCTGACCGTAACACCAAAAGCCTCCAATACCAAAAACGCCCACGATCAACGCCCGATTCGCCTTCTTTCCTTCCTCCTTTTTGCGTATCTTCCAATAAGTTAAACACTTGTGTTTTCTTATCTTGAAACTAATTAGCTAACGTGGCGATAACAAATTTCTTATTGCAACGACTGAAGATAACACAAATACGACGCAAATATTTCCAGATAAACAAATGTTTTTAATTTGACAATTGGTAAGATTGAACATTAGTCATTATATTTTCCTTTGGCATACATAATGTACATAGGAGGCGTCAACGAGAAAAAGATAAAATACACACATAAAAATATAAAAAGAAAATCACATATCACACAGCCACAGGTATATCACAGTAGTTAAAGCATTTATTTCTATATCCATCCACATATTCGTCAATGGTGTAGAAGCAGTTGCGTATTAAAAATTTTTTTGTTTCCCTACGAAATATACCCAGGGACTTGCAGGCTTTAAATTTTTCCGGGAGCAGGTTGTACATGTGGGTTCCGGCAAACATGGGGGACCGTTTGTAGAAGGCGTAATTCGGTTTAGGCTCGTAGAAACTGTCTTTCCCTCGGGTGTCGTGTCCGTGAATCTGGGTGTGTGTCCTGTGCATCCGTTTGTGGGCATGGAAGTTAGTCAGTAGTTTGTATAGGTAGATGGAGGTGACTGTTAGTATGCCCTGTTTTTTGAAGGTCTCTCTACATGAATGAATGTTTCGCAGAGTCGTATGATACGTTTTTGCGCCAAGAACAAGCGATTTAATTCTGTGGATTGGCCCCAGGCTATGATATTGTAATTTAGTGCCGAATGAACCAACGCGTAGTAAACACTTAACAGGGAGTTATTATTTAAATAATTCCTTAACGTCATTATTGCAAAGAATGATTTATTTAGTTTTTTAACGACTTCATCAATCTGGCTAGTCCATCTTAGGTTAGTGTCCATTACTATACCAAGATATTTAACCGTGCCCGTTGTTGATATTGTATTTGAGGTTGATCTTGAGCGATTGCGGAAATCTATTATAGATGTTTTATTTATATTTACTATTAATTTATTTTTATGGCACCATTTATTAAAGTCTTCTATCACTTGTTGGACGAGATCACACGCACGTTTTGGACATGGGTGTGACACGATTATCGCGGTATCGCGCATAATATGATTTAAGGATTGTTGTCATTAGTAGCATATACGCCCGGAAGTTGTGGTCAATTAATGTTAATTTGTGCTTGTTAAAAATCGGTTTTATACCTTTCTTTGGGATCTATCTAAATGGCCCTTATCAAATATATAATTTCACATGGGTTGTTCACAATTTACTTTTCAGGTTTCGTTCGTGAACAGCATCGCCACGAGTAAAGGTGGCAAGCACGTCGATCACGTCGTCGACATGATCACAAAGTACGTCGGCGAGCTTCTAAAGAAGAAAAATAAGGGCGGCATCGCCATTCAGCCGGATCAAATTAAGAATCACATGTGGGTTTTTATTAACTGTCTAATCCTCAAACCTTCCTTCGATTCCCAATCGAAAGAAATGATGACTTCCACCCATTTCGGATATAGATGCAACTTATCAGATAAATTTTTTAACGCCGTCGCGAAGGGCGGCATCATCGAGAATACTCTCTTGTGGGCCAGAATAAAAGAACGGGATGATATGGCCAAGATGAGCGGAAGGAAGCAGACGAAATTGAAGGACATTCCGAAATTGGCCGATGCGAACATGGCGGGCGGGCCAATGAGTCATAGGTAAGGAATTTACATCGGAGTTTGAGTAGGTAGTAAGAGCATCTGTGATTTTTGTTCATAAACGCCCTCTATTGAGCAGCAGTATAAACGTGTACCTTCCAAAACTGTAAAATTAGCGCTTGTGGATTTATGCATTAGATGGCGCTGCAACAAATTTACACTGTTGTATAAAAAGAGCTGGAAGTCAGTATCTGGGAAAATACCGTAGTACAGTAGAACCCCACTTATCCGGGTAACAGAGTTAATTTACACATTTTTTAAATTTTGATCCTTTTTATACTGCTATGTGCAATGCCAAACGGTCACTGACCCACGAGTCACATATTATTTTTCCAGGGGGCATTTTCATTCATGTTCGATTGTAGAAAAAGAGAACCAATTTTCTTGTTGGTGGTGTAGTAGCAGTTAAATTGGGATGAGCTCCGCCCACCCACCCTTACCGGCTTTGGGCTGTAGCCAACTCCCCCAGGTGTAAGGTTTTACCTTTCTGCATTAATAAACATGAAAAAATCAATGGTTTTTCTATAAATGATAAAGATAATACATAACAGGACGTGTATCATTTTAAAGTGTATATATAGTAGCTGTAACTCGCCCAGCATGCCTTTCCGGATTTCTGCTTTCATATAGGTTTCAGGTACAGGGCTGCTATTGTGCTTATTGCGTCCCCTGTCCTGGTCGCTTCGTCCGCCACACGCGTTTGCCGCTGACTATATTTGAGGCGTCTGTTGGCTGGAAATAATAGTTTGCTTAGGTGGGCGGAGCGCGCTCTCTTCGGCTGAGGGATCGATAAGAGTGGGATGCTAACTGTACCCTAAGCGGCTAGCGTGGTTTCATAGCCAGTTCAAAGTCGGCTTATACGTTAAGCCCGAAGTTACCACGGGAAGGTGCTTGTCTCCGCTAGGCTTTCACGGTGGGCACAATTAATTGACTAGCTACAACTTTGACACCAATACCAAACCACTGGAATTGCAACATTCACTTTTATAATGACGCATTATTAAGTCATAGAACACCAATTAAGCTTTTCTTCTGCAAGAACTACCATACACCCATTAACATCCACCAATAGTCCCGTGTTGTTCCGTCTCCTTTCCCGTCCCGCTTCCTCGTTTTCTATCGACTTATTGCGCTGCGCGTCTTTCAGTAAACTTACACCTGTGTTTACTTACGGCGAACAAAACAACTGCTCAGCTACAACTTACGCAGCGATAACGAACTTCTTATCGCAAAGATCGGCGATAAACTTACAAAATAACAACTCAATTATTTCCAAATGTCCCTAATCTTTTAACACGTAGTTTCTGAACGATAAAATAAACAACATACAAGGCGATTATTGACTTCAAATTCAAATGATATGGTGGAAATTGTGTATTATACCTACAGGGTGACCCGGCGTAATTTAAGGTGTCGATTTCAATAAAATCGCATGACATAGTTTACGTAACAATACATATGTATACAATATGTTCATATATAATTGGATAATCAGGGTTCTACTGTAATTGAATTTTCCATCTCTACCCCTTTCTCCGCCGCCTCTGGGTGGCTATAAGGCGTAGAAGGTTGGAAATGAGAGGATCACCTATTGGTTCGTTAAGATAGTTTGTTTGAAATGCGCTAAAAAGGTCTGATGACAACCCTATAGAGTTTAAGAAGGGCGAGAGGAGGGGGGGGGGCATTTCTACTGGATGTAGGTATAGTTTCAATCTTGCTTTTAGGTGTACGCTAATCCTAACGGAGGGAGATTCCGCTAAATCGTCTGTCGTATCCGGATTGGGTATAGTTGGTCGCGATTATTACGGCGTATTTCCGCTTAAGGGAAAATTGTTGAACGTCCGCGAGGCAACGCATAACCAACGAATGGAGAATGTCGAAATAAATGTTCTCGTCAGGATCTTGGGCTTGAATTTTAATAAAAAGTATGAGGACGACAGCGAGATGAATACTTTGCGGTACGGGAAGGTTATGCTCATGACCGATCAGGATCAGGACGGTTCTCACATCAAAGGTTTACTGATTAACTTCATACATAGCAATTGGCCAGCTCTAATACGTCGCGATTACTTGGAGGAGTTTATAACGCCCATCGTTAAGGCGTCCAAACGTAACGAGGTTCATAGTTTTTATTCCATACCGGAGTTTGAAGAATGGAAGAGTGCGACGCCAAATCATGACACATACACGATCAAATACTACAAAGGTTTGGGTACCTCTGGATCGAATGAAATGAGGGAATACTTCTCAAATATGGCGCGTCATCGCATTCGGTTTCGCTATAGTGGTCAGCAGGATGACGATCACATTGTGCTAGCTTTCAGTAAGAAGCACATAGAGCATCGTAAAGAGTGGCTCACAAACTTCATGGTGGAGACAAAACGTCGCAGAGCGAAGGGTTTACCCGAAAAGTACTTATATACAAAAGACACCCGGGTCGTTTCTTACTCCGATTTTATAAACTTTGAACTGGTACTCTTTTCGAATGCCGATAATGTGCGCTCCATACCGTGCTTGGTAGACGGCTTGAAACCGGGTCAACGGAAGGTGTTGTTCACTTGCTTCAAACGCAACGACAAGCGCGAAGTCAAGGTCGCTCAGCTTTCCGGTTTTGTTGCCGCGATGTCGGCGTATCACCACGGCGAAGTCTCCCTATGCAAAACCATCGTAAATTTGGCGCAGAATTTCGTTGGCAGCAACAACGTAAACTTATTGCAACCGATCGGCCAGTTCGGCACTCGCCTGTGCGGCGGAAAAGATTCGGCCAGCGCCAGGTACATCTTCACGAAAATGTCCCCGCTCACCCGTCTCATTTTTCATCCCGACGACGACCCCCTCCTCAAGAACGAATACGACGATAACAAAAAGATCGAACCGGCATGGTACATTCCCATTCTACCGATGATCCTCGTTAACGGCGCAGACGGCATCGGAACCGGGTGGATGACCAAAATTCCCAATTACAACCCGCGCGAGATCGTGCAGAACCTCCGGAACATGCTCGACGGCGAGGAACCCGTCCCCATGATCCCGTGGTATAAGAATTTCACAGGCACCATCGAAGATTGCGGCGACCAGCGGTACGTGACGAGCGGAGAGGTCGCCGTTACTGGGCCCAACACGATCGAAATAACCGAACTACCGATCGGCACGTGGACGGATAATTATAAGGAGCACGTTCTCGAACCTTTACTGAACGGTAAGATTTATCCCTTATTTCTATACTTAGTGGGTGCAACACTACTTCGGTGTATGATAAAAATTGCAATTTTAGCTCATGAATGATGGAAGAGGGGTAGGAACAAAATCCAACTTAATTATATTTTGTTTTGTTGGAATAGGCTCCGAGAAAACGCCGAAGATCCTCGAGAACTACAAAGAGTACAACACCGACACCACCGTCAAGTTCGTTGTCCTTCAATTTCGTCTGCTTCCTTCCGCTCATCTTGGCCATATCATCCCGTTTTTTTATTCTGGCCCACAAGAGAGTATTCTCGATGATGCCGCCCTTCGCGACGGCGTTAAAAAATTTATCTGATAAGTTGCATCTATATCCGAAATGGGTGGAAGTCATCATTTCTTTCGATTGGGAATCGAAGGAAGGTTTGAGGATTAGACAGTTAATAAAAACCCACCTGTGATTCTTAATTTGATCCGGCTTAGGTTAGGTTAGGTTAGGTTAGGTTAGGTTAGGTTAGGTTAGGTTAGGTTAGGTTAGGTTTAGGTTTAGGTTTAGGTTTGGTTAGGTTAGGTTTAGGTTTAGGTTAGGTTAGGTTAGGTTAGGTTTAGGTTTAGGTTTAGGTTTGGTTAGGTTAGGTTTAGGTTTAGGTTAGGTTAGGTTAGGTTAGGTTAGGTTTAGGTTAGGGTAGGTTAGGTTAGGTTAGGTTAGGTTAGGTTAAGGTGTTTTTGTGATTGTCGAATTTTTAAAAATTTTTGGAAAGTGTAGTAGGGTGCGCGCTAGTGAGGCGAATCGCTTAAAGTTTGTTTCGTCCAAATCGGTCAATAAATAAAGTCGAGGTGAATTTTTAAAGGTTGTGGGCGCTTTAGCGTTCGTTAAGGAGGACACGGGAAAATTTACTACCGGAAGGAGACCAGATACGAGGTAGGAATTAGTAATAGTAGATAGCCCTCGCAAAGGCGAATCCAACCCGCACCGGGTCGACCTTATCGGCGCACGGATAGACCGGTGGCAGGACTATCAAATTCGAGGTGATAATCACTGATAATCCCGTAGCGGCGGTGTTAGGGGTGCGATAGGGTCGGTTCAAGTGAAAGTGGTTGTGACAAGTCAAGACCTACCGTTTGATACCAAAATCGAAGGGGTGGGACCATTTTGAAACGACACCACTTTTCACGGGCAGGCATAAATTCTACGTAAACAAATTGTAAATAAAGTGTGGCCGATACGATAAGACTGATAGGGGTATAAAATCCAAACCGGAGGGCGTACGTTCTTAATTCTGAGCGCGTTGGACTACGGGTACAAAGGCGGTTCTTTAGACACCCCACTCGGGGGGGGGTAGACGCACCCCTAAGCGCGCCCTTTTTGGGGGCAATGGGATCGCAAACTCCGGCTTCTACGGGAGAACGGCGGATGTCTTTGGCCGAGGAATTAAGTGCGGCAATTAATATTGAGGGAGACCCGAAGTCACCCCGAGTGAGTTCATGGGAACTTAGGTGGTCCGAGGAAGAGGGAAGGTCGGTTCCCACAGGAAGTAAAGAGACGCCCAAGAGAAAGCACGAGGGGAACGGGGAAGGGGTACCCTCAGCTAAAAAAGCCAATAAAAGAGCCCTAAACGAGAAGGTAGTACAGCTAATTAGGAAAATTCAGAGAAAGGTAAAACGGTTAGATGAACTTATCACGAAGAATACCCTGGTAGATATTAAAACGGTTACAGCCGAACTCCGGAGTGCGGTATCGCAGCTGGGGGCCGAGGAAATCGTGGCTTTCATCGAGGAAAAAGACCCGGCGGCATGTAAAAAAGGGATCGCTTCCCCAGCCCCCCCAGCCTCGGCCGTTTGTCGCAGGTGTAAGGTGGTGATCTCGGCGGAGGACCGGGAGCGAGAGGAAATCTGAGAAAAGATAGAGGAGGCCCAAACCGAAGACGAGATTTGGGAGGTGGTCAGAAGGAAGTGGCCAGAGGGAACAGCTCGGGGGATGATAACCTTCGACGGAGCCTGGATGGGAAACGAGGTGGCCCTTTACACAACAAAAGAAGGAGATCAAGTCAGGGAGAAACTAGTCGCCCGGCACCCGGAATTCGAAGGGCACGTGAAAAGCCTGCAAACGTTTAAAGGAGGGATGACCACCTTTAGAAAGTCGGAGGCGGTTATGGAAGAAGGAGAGGATGAGAAGGAAGGGAAAGACCGATTTATTTTTGTGGCTGCTATCGAAGGGAAAACAGACGAGGAGAGGGCCAGAACGGTCATCGGCACCATTATGAAAGCCGCTCGGCGGCTGGAGGCAAAAGGTCAAACCCAAGTAAAATTCTACACGGCGCCCGAGGAGAGGGATGTATGGATCAAAGCGGCGGAGTGCGTCCTATACAATAAAACTATACTGTACTGTTTCGACGACGTGCGCAGGGAAGAAAAACGGAAGAATAGACAGGAGGTCTCCTTCCTCATCAAGGAGGATGGAAAAACGTATGCCGACCTATTGAAGGGAGCAAAAAAGGCACTGGAGGGAGAGACAAACCAAGGAGTGAGGGCGGTGCAGAAAACTAAGGACGGGCATCTGCGCCTAGTCATGGATAAAAATAAATCAGATATCCAGGGAACTATGCAAAGGTTACAAAATGAGATGAAATCGGCGAGCTGCATCGTCAGAGGTGATGAGAAGGAAAAGGTCGTTTTCCATCTGCGAGACATCGACGAGTTGACCACAGAAAAGGAGATAGAGAAGGCGCTCGTGGAAATTCTCAAGCCGGACACCACAGATAAACTGATAGTCAGACCGATAAGGGGGCCAGAGGGTGGCAACAGGACCGCCACGATCCTGGTGGATCGCTCGCTGGAACGGGAGCTGGAGAGCCACAGCAGAGTATGGATCGGGATTGTCCCCTGCCGGATCAGAAGGAGGGTGGAGGTTGAGAAGTGCCGCAAGTGCTGGGACATTTATGAAGCCGGGCACGTGTGTAGAGAAGGAGAGGGCGCTGTCAAACGTTGCTACAACTGTGGCCAGACAGACCACATTAAAGAAAGATGTACCAACCCGAGGAGGTGTTATATGTGTGAGGAGGATGGGCATGCGCCTTGGACCATGGCCTGCGCTAAGTTCAAGCAGGCGGTCAAGAATGTGGAGGCAAAGAGAAGAACCTCGAGGTTGGTGGACAGCTCAACCTCACGAAGAGACTAGTCCAGCTTGTGTGTTTTTATCTATACAACCGTCTAATGATTTTTATGGGTTCCTTATGTTTTTTAAATATCGCTTTAACATGGATTTTTATACTATTAGTCCCAAAGACACCTGCACTAAACGTCTGTGATAACGTGTACCTAGACTGTGATACATATGGCTCTGTAAAACTCCTTTTAAACGTGCTGACATACAGCCTTGTTTTTAAACTGTTTTTGTTGTCCGTCCATTATATTAAATATTTTAACATGTTTTACACCAATACTGTCCGTCCGATACTCTCCGGGGTGCAGCACACGCTGTACCGGAGTGTACTCTTGTTTTTACAATTGCTGTTAACTGTGTCGTATCAAGGTATATTTTTATTTTTTACTTATTTTAACGCGTTTACAATACTTTTACAAACAACGTAGGTAATGACCCTCCAGGAAGCGTCGAGTGCTCAAAGAGGCAATAAAAATGGGGACATAGTGAAAGTGGTGCAGTTGAACTTAAATCGCTGTTATGCCGCGCACGATGCTCTAGAAGCAACCGTCAGAGAAAGAGGCGTCGACATCATACTAGGACAAGAACCGAATAAAAGAAGAACTCGCGAAGCGAACTACTACTGTGATAAAAACCGCGACACGTTCATAAAGGTAAATAACCGTGGCGTGCTAAAGTGCGAGGGCGGAGACGGCTTTGTGTTCGTCGAGGCGTCGCTTGCAGCTATGTACTCGTGCTACATATCCCCAAACAAGACCTTTGAAGAATTTGAAGATTTCTTGAGCAAGCTGGAAGAACACATGAGAGCGCACAAATCCAAAAAGGGAATAATAATCGCAGGGGACTTCAATGCGAAATCCCAGATCTTCGGCTCGCCCACCACCGACCGTAGGGGAACCTGCTTGGAGGAGTGGGTGGAGGCAAACGGCCTAAGCGTCATAAATAGCGGCACGACACCCACCTTCGAGAACGCGAACGGGAGCTCGTTAATTGACGTGACGATGGCAACTGAGGAAATTGCTGGCCGCATAAGTGCTTGGAAGGTAACCGACGAGGAGAACCTGAGTGATCACCGCACCATTGAGTTCTGCGTATCGACACTGGCTCCCCCAAAAGTGGAGAATAAAAACACAACACGTTGGGAAATATCGGAAAGCACGTGGGCGAAGTTTCTTAAAGCGTGCAAGGAAAACCCCCTACGGATCACACAGGGAGGAACCCCGGAAACCTTAATGAAAGATATATCCACACTATGCGATAAATTCTTCAATAAGAAATGCCCAACGCGACCCGGACGACAAGCGGTCTACTGGTGGAACGGCGAAATCCGCGACGCCAGGAAGGCGTGTGTAGCTGCCAGAAGGGCAATGGTAAGGAATAACCGAAAAAATCTCAGAACACAGGCAGACGGGATTAACCTCAGGGAGCTGTACAAGTCAAGGAAGAAAGTCCTAAAAAAAGCTATCCAAAAGGCGAAGACCGGCGCATGGAAGACCCTCATAGGAGAACTCGACAATGACATCTGGGGGAAGGCATACCAAATAGCCACCGGGAGGATGAGGAGGCGGCAATATACGAGGGTAGAAGACGACCAGCTGGAGGGCATCATTGCGGACCTCTTCCCGACGCACGAGACCAAAAACTGGAAAAGAACATTAACCAAACCAGCAGACGTGAGACCAATAACACCAGAAGAGGTCATAGCCGCTGCAAGAAGAGTAAAGGACAGAAAAGCACCAGGACCGGACGGAATCCCGCCCAAAGCAATAAAATACATCTTTACGGAGTGCGCCGAAGAGGTTGCGCCAATCCTAGACCAATGCCTCCAGACGGGAAGATACCCGGAGGTTTGGAAAAGGGCCACGCTGGTCCTTATCCAGAAACCCGCAAAGGCGACGGAATCGACCCCTAAATACCGCCCGATTTGCTTATTGGATGTGGCGGGGAAAGTCCTGGAGAGTATCTTAAAAAATCGAATTGAGGCAGAAATACAGGCAATGGGAGCGCTAAGTGAAAACCAGTTTGGATTCCGCAAGGGCAGGACCACCATGGACGCAATTCAGAAAGCCCTCGAAATGGCGACGAATATCATGGGGAAGGCGTCGAAGAACAGGGAGCTGTGCATCATGGTAACCCTGGACATAAAAAACGCTTTTAATTCGGCACCCTGGAGCGGCATTATCGAGGCACTACAAAATGCGAAAATCAGCGACTACCTATTAGACATCGTGAAATCCTACTTGGATAAGAGATTTATCATAGCTCAAGACGGGAGGCTGAGATCGGTGACGAGCGGAGTTCCACAGGGTTCGATTCTCGGACCGACCCTGTGGAACATCTTCTACGATAGGGTCCTTAGACTGGACATGGGCCCAGACATAGTGAGCGTGGCTTACGCAGACGACCTAGCTCTCGTAGC